AATGCTGAGCGACCGATGGTTCACCGTCCACCTTGGTGGGGTTGCCAGCTGCCTACGAAAAATGAATAATGGACTCTCGCAGAGATCTGTTCTAGCCCCAGTGCTGGGGCTGCAATGTCGTCCACGTACGTGGACGACATTGCACTGGCAACCCAAGCCCGGACAATAGAGGACACTGTAAAAGTTCTCAAAAAATATCTCAAGACCTGAGAAGCATACTTGACGAATTGGCGCCTAAAGTCAAACACGTCCAAGAGCGTCTTCTCCAATTTTCCACCTGAACAACAGGCAAGCCGCTAAAACATTAAATGTCAACTTCTGCGGAACACAACGAACACACAACCAGCACCCTCGGTACCTAGGAGATACCGTCGACCGGACGTTCGACTACCGGCGCCACCCTGAACAAGGCAAAATTTAAACAAAAGCATGGGTGAACCTGAAACAGAAACTCGCGGGAACAGACGTGGGGAAGTGACGCCTGCATGCTGAAGATATCAACGCAGGCCTTGGCCCACTCTTCAGCAGAGTACTGTGCTCCAGGGAGGAGTGCCAGCCCTCGCACAAACCTCGTCGACGTCGAAATTAACACCGCACTTCGTATCATCAGCTGCGCCCTAAAGTCCACTCCGCTCCCGTGGCTTCCCGTGCTGGCGAACATCGCTCCAACCAACATCCGAGGTGATGTCGCGACGATCCGGGAGTACAACAATATCGTGGAAAACTTCGCCCCGGCCGCTCCACCAAGACATAAAGGCACCCCCATGCCCTCAGCTTAAATCCAGGAAGCCTTTCTGGATATGCGCCTCCGCTCTGGCAGCTGAAAACAAAGACACCGGCACTCTTTGGTCTGAAGGGTCAGCGACTTTGAACGTGGAAAACTAAAACATCATTGAGGACCTGACCGTGGAAGTGCCGGGATTCTCTCTCTCTCACGACGGCTGTGGACCGCACTGAACCGCACTCGGACGCAGCACGTGAGATGTGCGTACACGTTCCATAAATGGAAAATCAAAAGATTCACCAATCTGCGACTGTGGCCCAAATCATCAAGCACGTCACTGACGAATGTGCCATCCATGGACACCCTGGCGGAATTTCTCCAATCTATATAGCATCTACTGCTGCCTTGGATTGGTTGAAGGACCATAACATTCAATTATGACATCTATACAAACTGTTGCTTACATGCCATATGAAAGAAGAAGACTATTTATATAATTCACTTGTAAACAGACAGCATATCATGTAAACAAAACCAGTCGAGGTCTTAACGCTTTTAAATAGGCGTCGCTGATTGGTTGAAGGCATGGCTCAGCCCCACTTATGAGCGTTCGGATTAGCCGAAATTGGCGCCCCGCATGCATAACTTAAACATGTCGCTAGTCACGCACGTTAACGTTAATCGAAACAATGGGGTCCTATTGGGATGGAAAAACGTTAACCAAAAAACAGTTAACCGATGTCCACTGTTAACCGAGGGACTACTGTATTGTAATGCAGACCTGGCCAATCAACTGGAGTCCATTTAAGTGGATTACCTCTTTCTTAAGTAGGAACCTTGGTTTTTAGCCAAGCGCCCATTCAGATAGATTCAATGTGTGTAAGGTCCAATGTCGCTTTTGCAAATAGATACCTGTGTTGTGAGGTGTCTCATCGGCTTGCTTTAATCAAACGGTGGTGAGCTACCAGTTGTTTATAGCTGTATGATCTGGGGTCTTAGTCTCTTTGAAAAATTATATAGTTAATCCACACAACTCAAAATAATCATTAAGTGTCATTGCTGTGAAGAATATATGTGAAGGAGACATTGCCTGCCTATTTATTTTGTTATTTATATTCTGTATATCGAAACTGGTCCAGAGATTGCTCATCTTGAAACAATGCTGCTGAAATTATGGACTCCCAGAAGGGTTGTGTAAATAAATTATGTTTTGCTTTATGTGGAGAGACGGATTATATGTGGAGGCGACATATTGTCCGCTTATTTGTTGTTATTTACGGTTTCCATAACGACGCTAATGATTGAGTCGTGTGATGGAGAGCGAGCCGAGTTCAGGCGAGACTCCGCCGAGATTTCATTATCAGCCAATGCAATGGGTAATCCAAGGTTCTTGCCGTTAATTAGAGCACGCGGGTGTGTGTGCAAGGAGGCAGTATCCACGTGGTCGTGGGAATAGGCGCTCGGGATAGCAGCAGATACACATACAGTACTATATATGCATACAAGAATTATATACGGGCCACGAAGCAATCATTACGATATCGACAGATGTGATTTACGAGCTCGTTTGGCTATTGAAGTCGCCTGCGCTTGATTATCTCCGGTTATTATATCGATGCGAGTGTAGTGCGTGGGCTGTTTACAGGTTTATATTTGTGTGTATTGTATGCTTATCGCTTTGATCTCCATATAGTTTAAGCAGAGCGTGCATCAAGCGCGCTTGCTCCGCAGAGGCAGAGCAGCAATACGCCTGAGCACAAAGTAGACGCCTGCTTTATGCCGCACGCTTGGCTCAGAGAGTGCTGTTAACGAGGACCTATCAAATCCGGCACAGAACACGTGGCTTAGGTGTGGTGAGAACCAACGCACAACGAAACCCGCTTTAATCTCTCTAATGTAAATACGGGTAGTTCCCGAAATACGAACGGGTTCTGTTCCTGAGTCTCGTTTGCAAGTCGAGCGGTTCATTAGGCGGAACACTAAAATGCAACTCTATTTAAATGTCCATACGGTGAGTGTTATAAAATGTGGTAAGGTTGAATAAAAACTCATAAACGAGAAGAAATATTGTACATTTGCATGTAACACTGTAAATAGCTGTGCGTTTCGGTGCGAGTTCACGTTTGCAAGTCGGATGGTTAAAAAATAAATATCTTTTGGAAGCTCGTTCATACGTAAGTCGAGGATTTCCTGTATTCGTGCACACCATCATATGCCTATTTTGAGCAAAGTGAATCGAGGGGACACCCAGATCCGTTTTTTGTCACAGTGGCTGTTGGTAATACAGGCGTGTCTCGCTTAACGAGCGAGATACGTTCCACCGAAGGTTGCTTGGGAAGAGAAAACTCATTAAACCACCATCGTTTTCCAAATGATTCCCATTTTAAAAAGCTCAGCTACGTTTCAGTGCCCCCAGAATTACACTCTTGAACAGTTTTGTTAACGTGAGAAACACAAATTTTAATGTTAAAATAAAGTAATAAAACATCAAATGTAACCAGAGTGCTTGCAGGTGCCTACCATTTGCGTTGTTTGAAGGGTAGATGATTTTAGTGGGTGGAGGGAGCAGCAGTGGGCCCACGCAGGACCGCTGGTTCAAATGTGTCACTCACCACTGATGTTAGCCGTGGCTGGGTAATCGAACCAGGGTTGCTGGGTTCATAGCCACTATGTATGTATGTTGAACTTATTTCGCAACATACCTAGCCAATCGGAGATGCGATGCAGGGATGTGAGATGGAGCGCGGCGACTTCCTGTCCTCGTCTGCCACCCACCCCCTCCCCCCAACCCACCCATTCCAGTGCCACCACGAGGGCCTCTCTACCCACACGACGAGGAGACACGCGGGCACAAACACAGCTGGTAAACAAAGAGCTGCGGGCCGCCGTGCGCCCACTTGCCACCAGGGAGCGCTTTCGATCATCGATGGGTCTCCGCTCGCTAAACGAATATTTTGCTCGTTTTGTGAACAAATGGGTCTAAATTCAAAGTGCTCGTTGTAGCGAATGCTCGCAGAAAGATCGCTCATTAAACGAGAATGCCTGTATGTTTGAATAGGAATCGAACCCAGGCTCCAGGCTTCTATGTGTTGGGCTGGTAACATTAACCACCACTCCACCGCTCCCAAACAAAACCCGTGCACCTGGATAACGTTTGACAGATAGCTGTTTGCGATTTTCACGGATGAAGTGCGTTACGTAGTATTAGAAATCGAACCATGCCAAGTTTTATGTTCAAACAAATATCCATTACCTCATTTTGCAAAACATCTCCTACTAGTAATTGGTTAACCATTGCAGTGAATGACTTTCCAATGTGTAACTGGATAAGTACATGGCTCTATTATGATTCGACCGGTTGAGTCACTTAAATATGTTTTCTTGTTCATGTTTTTGTTTTTTGTTTGTTGCGGTTGCAACCGATTCAAGAGCCGAGTGGCTCACAGGGCTATACCAAAATAAATGAAACTGAGTGCCAAGTGGTGTTAGCGAGCGCCTATTCGGGGTTCGTGCTCGTGGGCAGTAACCACGCGCGTTCGCACCTTCCATTGTCCACTGCTGTCAACGCGAATCATTTTACGCTGAGTCGACCTTGGGGGGCGCCTCGGGTAAGGTTGGGATAACGATGGCCACTGAAGCGTGGGCGGCAGGTGATCCGGGGATTCGTGAATCGTGTCGCGGGGCGCTAATAACGATGATAAAATAAATGCAAAGATCCCCCGTGTAGCCTTTCACTAAAGGTTGACGAAAGTGGTGCGAGTAAGCTCACTGATGAAGGCCGGCACGGCACACGAGAGGGTGGGTGGCCAGCGCCACGTCCGGCCGTCTTTGTCTCCCTTGTGGCGACTCTTACACATAGCACCAGCCACTCGTTTAAGGCTGAGTCGACCAAGGGGTAGGCGCAGGACCGGTTCAGATAATCGTCACTGGTGTTGGCCGCGAGCGGGAATCGAACCCGGGTCGCCGGGTGTCGTATCCCAGCGCCCTCTACCCGTTACGCGTTACTCCTTCTTCCCATAACAAAACAATGCACAGGCTTACATAGACACACGCGCATTGGCGCGCACACACGCACGCACACACGCACGCGCTACAACACACGCGCGCGCACACACGCGTTACACACGCGCGCACACACACGTGTTGGGGGGCTGGTGGGGGTGACGGGAGAGGCGCGTGCGCGTCGAGCGGGAGAGAGAGGGGAGAGAGAGGGGAGTGAGAGAGAGGGGAGAGAGAGGGGAGTGAGAGAGAGGGGAGAGAGAGGGGAGTGAGAGAGAGGGGAGAGAGAGGGGAGTGAGAGAGAGGGGAGTGAGAGAGCCGTGGAGTGAGACCCAGTGCCCGGCGAGTGGGGCAGTCATCATCGCACCGCGTGCTATGTCGACGGCTGACGCTCCTCAGCGCGCAGCGCAGCAGCAGCAGTGATCGGCAGTGGTGAAGATGATGCTGCTGCTGCTGATGATGACGATGGAGTTCATCATCATGACGACGGCGGCGGTGACAGCCGTCCTGAGGCTGGGGCTGCTCGCGCCTGTCGCCGCCGCCGTCGCCGCCGCCGCAGAGGTGGGCTTGGGCATCGGCGCCGAGCGCGGGGTCGGGAGGAGAGCCGCCTCGGCATCGCAGGACGCGAAGAAGGGGGGCCCTGGCGGCGGGGGGGCTCGCGGGGAGTTGTTCAACTGGAGCCTGGCCCAGCCCGTGCACCTGTCGCAGCAGTCGGAGGCTCAGGCGGCGGTGTGCGACCCCGAACAGCGCATGTGGTGGGCATTCCTCGCCTCGTCGCTCGTCACCTTCCTCGGGGGCCTGCTCGCCATCGTGGCGTGGCGAGGCGTACACTGCGTGTGGACGTGGTGCTGCCGGGCGTGCGCCCGCAGCCACAAGGTGCGCTCCACACCCTCCCCCACCACCGCCGCCCCCCCCCCCCCCCCCCAACGCTGCCGCTGCTGTCCCGCGAGTGTTCGTGGCTGGGGCGCGCTGCGCTGCGCTGCGTCGCGAACCCGGCGACACGAGTTCGGTTCCCGCTCGCGGTCAACATCAACTGCCGGTGACGATTAGCTGGACCCGGTCGCTGGGCCGTCTCCCCTAGGTCGACTCAGCCTCAAGCGAGTACCTGGTGCGGTGTGTAACCACCGCCACTGGGGGAGACAAAGGCGGCCGGGCGTGGTGCTGGCCACCCACCCCCTCGTGCGCCGTGACAGTTTTCATAGGTGGTGCTGCTCGCTAGCAGCGCTTGACCCAGGCTATACGGGGGGCGGTCTTTGTGTCTGTACTACTACTGCTGCTAGCTATCTGAATCACACCGTGTGTCTGGAGGGTTGGCAGACCTGCGGCTCTTCAAAGGACTGCTTCGTGACGTTAGTTTTTTAAAGACCACCTTCTCGTATTCGCCACGTGCGTTGCGGCTTTTGAAATAAATTAGTGTTTTTTTTTGTTTCACCGGATTCCAAAAGGGTGTCTCTTCTTGTTATTTTGGTTGCTGACCCCTGGTCTCCACGATCTAGAGTCACACAGTACCCAGCCTCTGTGGTAGTCGATCCTTGAAGAGTATATATCGAGCGAGTACACACTCGCTCGATCTTAGCGGCACACCGAACCAAAAACATCACTGTGGGCCCTTCATCCAGCAGTGGATTGATCATGTCCAACGATGTTGCGTGCTTGCGCCCGTGCGCGCCTCTTCCTCAACGTGATACGCCGCTACGGACGCACCTGGTACCGTCATGGAAACGTGGAATTTCCACAATCGCGTCCTGTGTGTCGGTCTCTGCTCATCGATCACCGCGTGTTCGTCCCCCGCCCCCAGGCCTCGTCGCGGTGACTCAATGGGAGCCGCAGACGTGTGGGGATCCTCAGGTTCAATTCCTCACCCGGGGAACTGGGGCACCCGGCTCGGCCAATGCACTAAGAGGGGGCAGTTGTGTGTGTGTGTTTCGTGGGTGTGTTTCGTGGGAGTGTTTCGTGGGTGTGTTTCGTGGGTGTGTTTCGTGGGTGTGTTTTGTGTGTGTGTTTTGTGGGTGTGTTTTGTGGGTGTGTTTCGTGGGTGTGTTTCGTGGGTGTGTTTTGTGTGTGTGTTTCGTGGGTGTGTTTTGTGGGTGTGTTTTGTTGGTGTGTTTTGTGGGTGTGTTTCGTGGGTGTGTTTTGTGGGTGTGTTTTGTGGGTGTGTTTTGTGTGTGTGTTTCGTGGGTGTGTTTTGTGGGTGTGTTTTGTGGGTGTGTTTTGTGTGTGTTTCGTGGGTGTGTTTTGTGGGTGTGTTTTGTGGGTGTGTTTTGTGGGTGTGTTTTGTGGGTGTGTTTTGTGTGTGTGTTTCGTGGGTGTGTTTTGTGGGTGTGTTTTGTGGGTGTGTTTTATGTGTGTGTTTCGTGGGTGTGTTTTGTGGGTGTGTTTTGTGGGTGTGTTTTGTAGGTGTGTTTTGTGTGTGTGTTTCGTGGGAGTGTTTCGTGGGTGTGTTTCGTGGGTGTGTTTCGTGGGTGTGTTTTGTGTGTGTGTTTTGTGGGTGTGTTTTGTGGGTGTGTTTCGTGGGTGTGTTTCGTGGGTGTGTTTTGTGTGTGTGTTTCGTGGGTGTGTTTTGTGGGTGTGTTTTGTTGGTGTGTTTTGTGGGTGTGTTTCGTGGGTGTGTTTTGTGGGTGTGTTTTGTGGGTGTGTTTTGTGTGTGTGTTTCGTGGGTGTGTTTTGTGGGTGTGTTTTGTGGGTGTGTTTTGTGTGTGTTTCGTGGGTGTGTTTTGTGGGTGTGTTTTGTGGGTGTGTTTTGTGGGTGTGTTTTGTGGGTGTGTTTTGTGTGTGTGTTTCGTGGGTGTGTTTTGTGGGTGTGTTTTGTGGGTGTGTTTTATGTGTGTGTTTCGTGGGTGTGTTTTGTGGGTGTGTTTTGTGGGTGTGTTTTGTAGGTGTGTTTTGTGGGTGTGTTTTGTGGGTGTGTTTCGTGTGTGTGTTTCGTGGGTGTGTTTTGTGGGTGTGTTTTGTGGGTGTGTTTCGTGTGTGTGTTTCGTGGGTGTGTTTCGTGGGTGTGTTTTGTGTGTGTGTTTCGTGGGTGTGTTTTGTGGGTGTGTTTTGTGGGTGTGTTTTGTGGGTGTGTTTTGTGGGTGTGTTTTGTGGGTGTGTGTTGTGGGTGTGTTTTGTGGGTGTGTTTTGTGGGTGTGTTTTGTGGGTGTGTTTTGTGGGTGTGTTTTGTGGGTGTGTTTTGTGGGTGTGTTTTGTGGGTGTGTTTTGTGGGTGTGTTTTGTGGGTGTGTTCAATTGGTAATTGTTAGGACAGTCGTCTGTTCGTCTATTTCATGGTTTATTTTAATTTCTGCTGTGTCCATTTTCAACGCCGATGTGTCTCACTTTACGTTCATTTATGTGTTTGTTAATCATTTTATTTAACGCTCTATCTGGTCATTGTTTACTTCAATTGTCTGTGCGCCTGTCAATTGTTTCATTGCAATGTCTCTGTGTGTCTGTATATGCATGTCTTACGTTGCGTTGACATCTGGGTATCTATGTATTCATTATTTTATTGCATTGTCCGTATGTCCGTGGATCAGTTCTAAACCATAGCGGCACACCGTTTGTGAAGCAGCAGTGTGTGACTGTATGATGCTCTGCCAAGAGCCATTTGGATATTTATAACATCATTTGCGGGCCATACAAAATTATAAACTTAAAAATTCACCCCTGCTCTAGAGCATCATACAATCACACACACTCCAGCCTGTTTCTGGCATGTGCATATATTATACAAGGCACATTCCACGCATAAAATGCATGGTCTATAGGACCCGGCTAGGCTCTATATATCTACAGTCCCGTTCAGCCTGTCATAGTATCACAGAGAACATGGCACACAGCACTACACATTCCATACCATGGGGTGACCATATGAACTACATACGTTACATGTCTAGGCGGTGTTGCATACACTCCACTACAGCCTGTGTTGTCACGCACATCATGGGCAATCGCTCATAGGCAGTACATAACGTGGGCTCTATTCATAAGCCCCGCTACGAACATCGCGGTGCCACGCGATCCACACACAATCCGATTGTGGGCATGCACCGAACGCAGTCTGTAATAGGCTTCCGCAGAGTCTCAACAATTCAATTCACATTGTGGTGTTGTGTGTAGGAAAACACAATCTGTAGGTTGCTTATACATAGAGTTACAGCGATACAACGCAGCTTATTGCGTTATAACACAGCGCATGTGCTATGCAATAGCGTATAGACATACATATTATACAGGGTGTTTTAAAACGATAGAACCGATTTGAAATCGCTATATCTCTGCAACCACGAACCGCCCATGAATGAAACTCTTACCACTTGACCGGGGCGGGGCATAGAGAGGGCGGGGCATAGACTTTCAAATGATTACCGCTAGATGCCTCTCCCAGCGCACAAACAGCCCCTAGCCTCAGTCATTCGCAAGACAATACTGCCTCAACATTGGATAGGTCGCACGGGACCCTAAGACTTGGCTACACTCTTGGCCCCCAAAATCCCCAGACACTACACCCTGCGACTTTGTCTTGTGGGGATACGTCAAACACCGGTGTTTTTGTGCCACCATTAGCGACTAATCTGCATGACCTCAAAAACAGAATCACGCCAGCGGTGACTTCAGTGGAAGGAGACACTTTGAGAGGCGTTTGGGACGAATTAAACTATCGTCTCGATATTTTTCGTACAGCACGTGGAGGGCACATAGAGCATTTATAAAATGGTTAGTAAAAGTTGTTAACTAATTAAACCGTTTGTAACTTTTTGTGTAATTGTAACATGTTGCCATCGTGAAATATACTGCTTTGAAATTGGGTCCATCTTTTCCATTAAACAATTAACACTTTGTGTTAAGTCAGCAGTGGCTGTCCTATGCAATAACTCATCCCCGCCATAGGAATGTGGACATTCCAGCACTGGCTCAGGGCTTTAAACAGCCGAGTTGTGTATATTTCACATGATTGTTATGTACAGTTACGTCTTGTATCACACGTATGACACATTATTCATACATTACACTGGTATGTCTATGTACACATCTCGTACTGTTATGTATGGAGTACATTTGTGTGAGACTGCCGTTTTATACAAGACTGCCTCTACCCCTGTATCCTGACTCTTAAATCCTAAACTATGACGCCAACCTATAAACCATAAGCCTAAGCTAGCACCTAACTTTTACACAAAACTACAGATGCGTTTTAGCCCGGCTGCGGTGGCTATGCACGTGGCCTCTAATCCAGCACTGTGTAGGCAGCAGCGAGGATTGGGTGGATCACCGCACAAATGCCGTGCAACTCCCTTCCCGTGGGTGTCGAGGAGGAGCCACAACCCTGGCTCGCCACGAGAGGGCAGTACAGCAAAACATGTGGACTCCACCTGTTCCGTCTGTCTGGGATCGAGTGTTGCCCTCTCGCACGCGTGGGTTTTCTCCGGGCGCTCCGGTTTCCTCCGAAATATGAACACTCTCGATTTGTCTAATAACATCTTAATACAAAGAGGGGCGCGGAGCTTGCACAATTGTTGGCGCCAGCCCACCGCATTGCTACACTGCTGCCTTCCCGCTTGTCTGTGGTTCCTCCTCTTCACGTCGCTGAGTCGTTCTGTCTCTCTGTTCGAGGGCGAGAGAACGATGTGGTTTGTGCATTACAAGTTTAAATTATTATTCCACCGTAATCCCATTCCCTTCGTGTTTTGTCTACTGAAAAGCTAAAGAAGTGGGAATTGGAAAGGACCCGCTATTGGAAAAGCCAGCCCAATAGAATAAAATCTGGTGATAGATTAAAATCTGGTGTTAAAACATCTAGCTATCAGTCTCAATTTGCAAGATTGACATGGGTAGTCAGAGACTCGGTCGTGGTGTCTGCTGCTGTATCGCTCGGCCGTAGTGTCTAGCAACATTGGG